GTGAAAGATCAGGGCCAAACTCCTGAGGCAGGAGAGAGGTCAGGCACAGAAAGGGAGACATGCAGGGCTCTGGTGTTGACAAGGGTTGGTTTGAGCCTGGATCCACAGTCTCCAGGAGCCAGCAACGACATGAGACATTTCTGTACAACTCAGAAGGCTCCAGGGGAATGAATGTGGCTACAGTCACTGGACTCGGTACTCTACAGAGCCGCGTGAGAAGCTGTGCATGCTTTGATTAGTCATTAACTTTGTGGTGATTTCTTACCTCAGCGTCTACAAAATAACACCCATTTTTCCTGCAAAACAAATGCCCAATTCTGCATGCTGAACCTTCTCACTTTTTTCTAGGGGAGTTGTACCTCTTTCCCCCACTAACACAGTCAGCCTCCTCTGTGACATCTAGGGTTGTTGGGTTCAGGGCTTACTCACTTAGATCCCTTCCAGACAGGAGCAGCAGATGGAAAAGACAGGGATTTTGAGGAAGCCTCCAGGGACTGCTTTCTCCTCGCTGTAGAGATCAAGTTCTTCCGAATCTTGGGCAGATTGCTGCCTGATTGGCACTTCCAGAAGCCATCCCAGTCCTCCTCTGTCACCCCTGCTTACGCCCATCCATGCCTCCCATCTGCTCCAGGGCCATTTCATGAAGTCCTGCTGGCTTTGGGAGGGCATTCTCCATAACTGCTTTTGGGCGCAACCTCTGGGTTCTACAGCCTTGACCCCTTGCTGTCTGGGGCCCTGGGTCGGTGGTGGTGGGGAGTGTGGGGAGCAACTGAGATAGACTAAGTTACTGGAATTAAGACTTATTCTGTGCATCTGCTCTCCCACAATATGGCGCTGAGAGGGAGCAAACAGCCTCTACGCAGCTGCCTCATCAGTTTGATAAACTGCAGGAGCTGATCCTGCTCCTGATTGGAGGAGAGCAGTGTGCTCAGCGTGTGGGCAGCAGAGTTGGGATTGGTGGAAGAGGACTATAAAGGAGGAAAGAGACAACATGCACCAGGAACACCTGAAGGAACACCTGAGGAACATCCGAGAAGTCCCCGAGAGAGCCGGCCGGCGGTGTGCCGCTCCTCCGTGGAAGCGGGGAAAGCGGCGGGGGGTGCCACCCCTCCACGGAGGTGGAGGGGCCGGCAGCTAACCCAGGAAAGAGTCGGGCAAAAGGAACAGCGCAGGGTCCAGTGTCGTTCCTCCGCGAATGGGGGAGCGACAGGAAGGCTCCCCTGGTCTCACTGGCTCCACACTCTCTGGCAAGGTACTTGCCTGTGCTTCAGTCTCCTCTTCAATACTGTGGCAGGTCCATGGTGCCTGCTTACTAGGGCTAGGGTTGTCAGGTTCAGGGCTTACTCACTTAGATCCCTTCCATTTTCTGTGGATGTATTTTCTTCCGATATATTTTATAAGTATCTGTATCTATAAAGAAGTATCTTTGCAGATTTCTGATCCCAGGTGTAACCGTTAGGCACAGCTAACTTCAAAGTTTTCATCTCATAAGGATGAGTAACAGTACCCTTGAACTTCAAATGCAAACTAGTTAGTTCCTTTTTAGACTCATCCAGTAAGTAGACTTTTATTAATTACATATTGCTGAATTTGAGAAATGGAGAATTCGTCAATTAAGTATAGTTTATACATCCTATGTCTTATTATATGTTTGAGTGTATATGGCGGTAAATGTAGTGAATTTGAACAAAGAATCAATGGGAATATTTCAACAAGAGTTAGGAGAATATATGTAGAAGTTAAGTAAACCTTTGCCCTCGAAGAGTTGTGTTTCATTTTAATAAAGTCAGTCTTAGCAAGTGTTTATTATAAGCAAAACACACTGAAGTGTCCAAGAGGGTGCTTAGCATATAATGAGTGCTGATATTCTTCTAGTGCTGTGAGAGTTGGGCAGGAACAGTCACCACTGATATTTTTTAAGATTTATTTATTTATTTGAAAGACATAGTTACAGAGAGGCAGAGGCAGAGGCAGAGAGAGAGAGAGAGAGAGAAAGAGATTGTCTTTCATCCACTGGTTCACTCCCCAGATGACCGCAATGGCTGGAGTTGCGAAGCCAGGAGCCAGGAGCTTCTTCTAGGTCTCCCACGCAGAGGCCCAAGGACTTGGGCCATTTTGTACTGCTTTCCCAGGTCATAGCAGAGAGCTGGATCAGAGGTGGAGGAGCCAGGACTCGAACCACCTCCCATATGGGATGCTGGCACCGCAGGCGGCGGCTTTAACCACTATGTCACAGTGCTGGCCCATCACTGATATTTTAAGCACAGTAGGATATCTAGGGATGGCAACAATTGGCTATTTCAGAATAGCTATTAGGGAAGATTTTTTAGTGTTTGCAGCATAAACAAATGATAAATGGTTGAGGGAGTAGATACACCAATCACCCTGCTGTGATCATTACACATTATGTACATGCACAGAAGCCTCATGTTTGCCCCCTAAGTATGAAGAATTATTGGGTCAATTACAATATTAATTAAAGACAGCTACAGACCAAAATTGCTGATGAACATGGATGCATAAACTTGCAACAAAATATGAACAAACCATATCCAACTCTAAGTTCATCAAAAAGGTCAAACAGCATGATTAAATGGGATTTATGCTCAAAATGTAAGGATTGTTCAACAATCACAAGACAATAAACATCATAAATCGCATCAATAGAATAAAGAACCAAAAAGATTATCTCAGTGGATACAGAAAAAGCATTTGATAAAATGTATACAAAGTAGAAGAATACAGTTAGGTACTTACTTCTCATCATATGCAAAATCATCTCAAGATGTATTAAAATATAAGTGCAAAAATCATCTCAAGATATATTAAAAATATAAATGTAATACCAGAAACCATGAAATTGCTAGGGAAAACTAGGGGAACACCTCAAAATATTGGTGTAAGCAATATTTTCTTTTTGCTAATATTCCTAAATCTCAGTCAACAAAATCAAAGGTAGACAAAGTGGGATTACATTAAACTCAGAAGCCTCTGCACAGCAAAGGAAACTATAGAGTGAAAAGACAACTGACAGATTAGAGGAAATAGTTGCAAGGTATTTTTCTGACAAAGGGTCAACATGCAGAATGTATTTTTAAAAATTCAACAACAACAAGAAACAATCCAGTTAAGAAATGAACAAAGAGTCCTGAATAGACATTTATCAAAAGAAGAACTAGAAATAGCCATCAGATATGTGGAAAAACAACCTTCAATATCAGTAGCCATCAGGGAAATGTAAATCAAAACTAAATGAGATATCACCTCGCCCCAGCTTCAGTGACTGTTGGAAGAAGCACATGCTAGTGAAGGTGTGGAGAAAAGAGAACTCTGTTGGGGGGGATGTAAATTTGTGCAGCCACTATAGAAAACAGTATGGAGAATGGCTCACATTCAGAAATCTACCAACAACAGATGCTGGAGAGGATGTGGGGAAAAAGGGACACTAACCCACTGTTGGTGGGAATGCAAACTGGTTAAGCCACTATGGAAGTCAGTCTGGAGATTCCTCAGAAACCTGAAGATAACCCTACCATTCAACCCAGCCATACCACTCCTTGGAATTTACCCAAAGGAAATTAAATTGGCAAACAAACAAACTGTCTGCACATTAATGTTTATTGCAGCTCAATTCACAATAGCTAAGACCTGGAACCAACCCAAATGCCCATCAACAGTAGACTGGATAAAGAAATTATGGGACATGTACTCTATAGAATACTATACAGCAGTCAAAAACAACAAAATCCGGTTATTTGCAACAAGATGGAGGAATCTGGAAAACATTATGCTGAGTGAATTAAGCCAGTCCCAAAGGGACAAATATCATATGTTCTCCCTGACCGGTGACAACTAACTGAGCACCAAAGGGGAAACCTGTTGAAGTGAAATGGACACTATGAGAAACAGTGCCTTGATCAGCTCTTGTCCTGACTGTTGATGTACAATGTAATACTTTACCCATTTTAGTATTTTCTCTTTGTTTTGTTCTAGTACTATTGTTGAACTCTGTGATTAACACACAATTATTCTTAGGTGTTTAAATTTTAACTGAAAAGTGATCCCTGTTAAATATAAGAGTGGGAATAAGTGAGGGAAGAGATGTACAATTTGGGACATGCTCATTCGGACTTGCCCCAAATGGTGGAGTTAGAATCATGCCAGGGGATTCCAATACAATCCCATCAAGGTGGCATGTACCAATGCCATCTCACTAGTCCAAGTGATTAATTTCAGTTCACAATTGATCACACTGATAGGTCTAAGAGTCAAAAGGGTAACACAAACAAGACTAGTGTCTGCTAATACTAGCTGATAGAATCAAAAAGGGAGAGAACAATCCATCATGGGAAGCGGGATACACAGTAGACTCATAGAATGGCAGATTCTTAAACAGCACTCTGGCCTCAGAATTAGCCCTTAAGGCATTCAGATATGGTTGAAGAGTCCATGAGAGCATTTTAGGCATGGAAAGCCAAGACACCCTGGAAAAAAAAAAAAAAAAGAAGACCTAAATGAAAGATCTCTGTGAGTGAGATCCCAGTGGAAAGAATGGGGCTATCAAAGAAGGAGGTACCTTTCTCTGAAGGGAGGAGAGAACTTCCACTCTGACTATGACCCTGTCGGAATAAGATCGAAGTCAGCAAACTCAAAAGGCTTCCATAGCCTTGGCAACTCATGACTGGAGCATAGGGAGATTACTGATGCCATAAACAAGAGTGTCAAATTGTTAAGTCAACAACAGGAGTCACTGTGTACTTACTTCTCATGTGGGATCTGTCCTTAGTGTGTTGTCCAATGTGAATTAATGCTATAACTAGTACTGAAACAGTATTTTACACTTTGTGTTTCTGTGTGGGTGCAAACTGATGAAATCTTTACTTAATATATACTGAATTGATCTTCTGTATATAAAGATAATTGAAAATGAATCTTGATGTGAATGGAATGGGAGAGGGAGCGGGAGATGGGAGGGGTGTGAGTGGGAGGGAAATTATGGGGGCGGAGCCATTGTAATCCATTAACTGTACTTTGAAAATTTATATTTACTAAATAAAAAAAAATGAGAGAAAGAAACAGAACTGCCATTTGATCCAGCAATCCCACTCCTGGCTATATACCCGAAATACATGAACTAGTTGTTATCAAAGAGATCCCTGCTCCACCCTGTTTATTGCAGCATTGTTCACAATAGTCAATGTAAGGAGCAACCAAGATGTCCATCACCAGATGAACACAAAAAGAAAATGTGATATGATGCATGATGGAATAATATTCAGCTATAAAAAAGAATGAAATCCTGTCATTTGCAGCAACAAGGAAGGAACTTGAGGATATGGTGTTACCTGAAATAAGCCAGTCACACAAAGACAAATACTGTGTGTTCTCCTTCACATGTGGAAGCTAAGGAAATTCATTCTGAACACAAAATGCTGATTATTAGAGCCTGGGAGGGCTGGAGGGATAGAGGGAGTTTGGATAATGGGTTCCAAATCAGAGTCGGATTGAAGGAGAAGGGCCCTGGTGTCACACAGCACAGTGGGGTGACTGTCATTCACATTAACCTATTCTGTGTTTCATGAGCAAGTAGAAAACAGTGCTCCAGTCACAAAGTGTTGACAGAGAGGGGAAATGGTGGTTACCCGGATTGGATCAGATCTCATCCTAAGCATGCCTTGGAATGTCACACTGTAGCCCATAAATATGTACACTTATTCGTAATATTTTTAAGTCATTAACTTATACAAATATTATTTGAGTCCCTACAGTATGCCATTCATTTCCTGGGAAGCCAAAACATAGACATCAGGACCATTATGGGATTCTGTTCCATGGGAAGAAGGGGATGTTGAAGAAATGAACAGAGCATAGATCAATTGCAAACAGTTGGTTCAAAGTCCATGGGGTGCTGAGCTCCTCTCAGTGAGGTCAGAGGGAAGAGCTGAGGTGGGAAATTTCTTCATTTTCCAGGGTTCCACATCAACAGAAAACTCACCTGCAACCAGATCCTAGATCAGGGTCTCTCTCTCTCTCTCTCAATCTCTCTCTCTCTCTCTCTCTCAATCTCTCTCTCTCTCTCTCTCTTAAAACAACCAAACAAGGCTCTTTCCCTTCTACAATCCTTTATGGAGCTTCCTTCTCAATTGAGGTGCTAAAAGAACAGAACACGAGTCAAAAAAAAAAAAAAAAAAAAGAGCCGGTGCCGTGGCTCAATAGGCTAATCCTCCACCTTGCGGCGCCGGCACACCGGGTTCTAGTCCCGGTTGGGGCGCCGGATTCTGTCCCGGTTGCCCCTCTTCCAGGCCAGCTCTCTGCTATGGCCAGGGAGTGCAGTGGAGGATGGCCCAGGTGCTTGGGCCCTGCACCCCATGGGAGACCAGGAAAAGCACCTGGCTCCTGGCTCCTGCCATCGGATCAGCGCGGTGCGCCGGCTGCAGCGGCGGCCATTGGAGGGTGAACCAACGGCAAAGGAAGACCTTTCTCTCTCTGTCTCTCTCTCTCACTGTCCACTCTGCCTGTCAAAAAAAAAAAAAAAAAAAAAAAAAAAAAAAAAAACAGAACACTGGACTAAATAATTTGGTTCATTGTTAGGTACCACAATTAGTACAAGTCAAATGATTAATTAGTATTATAACTGCTTATGTTATTTTGTTCGCATCCTACCATAAGAGATAATTTTAAAAATTCCCCTAATTATTATAATATTGCAAAAAAACCTGGATTTTAATACCTGCTTATGCTTTTCTTTTGCATTAATTGCCTATTTACTATAAAACTATAGCTAATTTCTACAGTACAAAATTTTGCAAGTGTTGCTTTATGTGTTTAATTATATCAATTAATTATTTGCATGATTTAACAACCCATAGGATACCAAAGAAATGATCATTAAAAAGCTTAAAATTGCTGACTACTTCTGAGGTAAACCTGGAAAGGATTCAACCTGGAGAATGATTGATTTCTCACTGACGTCTTTGTGTCAGAAACCCACAGTACTTGAGAAAGACATACTGTAATTTTCCCACAGAAAAGCATACTGCCAAATCCCAACATTTGAAAAGCTTGAAGACGTTACAAGTGTAATTGCATATCAACAAGAAAGCTGCATGAGTGTCCTACAGTTTCTGTTTTAAGTACAATAACTTGTAGAGGTCCTAGCAGTCAAGGCAAAGTCACAGTTCTTTTCTGCCATGGTTCAGACAACTGTAGCGAGTGCTGTTTACATCATAGGCACCATGCTAATTCAGAAAGATTCTTCTAGAATTTTCTGCCATATGAACATTCTAATGAAGGTTGTACAAATATTACGCAGTCACTACAATTATGTTTCTGTTTTCTTTTCCGTATTGAATGTTTACATTCTCAAAGCATTCCCAATCAATAGCATTTATTGACTTTGTTTTCTCCTTTCTCAGCTATTTCCTTACTTGTTTAGCTTTATGCATTCTTCTTATGGTGTTTTATCTATTTATTTCATTGCGGGTGTGGGGGATATGTTGCCCTCTTTGTATTAATAGCTGGATTGGTCAGTGGGTGCTGGGGCTTAGTGCCAGCCAAGGAGGATACAGAGAAGTCGGGGTTTTTTCCAGGACTACTTTCAACCTTGATTACTGACCTCTGGGTAATGTTGCACTAGATTCTGGCTGAGTATTTGCTGAGGATTCCTATTGTGCTTGTCTCAGCTTTGGTTGAAAACAAGATCAGGACCAACAGGAGCTGAGCTGTTTCTACATAGCTCTTCCTTCATTTCCCCTTTCTGTCCCAGGCCTCCTGCAAGCCTGGTGTGAATACTGATCTCACTTAAATCTGCAGCCTGGACCATGTGAAGACCTGGAAATCTAAACAGATTCACAAGACAAGGGGAACTCTGCATCATCAGATCCAAACAAGCCATCTCCATGTGCAAGTCCCTTCTACCTTCATCCTTTCTTGGAGGCAAAAGCACACCCTTGTATCCTTACACAAACTGCCCACCCAGACATGATCCTTGATGCTGCCTCCCACACAGGGGTCACCTAGACACTGCCCCCAGCCCAGAGGTCACCCTCGACACTGTCTCCAGCCCAGGGGTCACTCTTGACACTGCCTCCAGCCCAGGGGTCACCCTCGACACTGCCTCCAGCCCAGGGGTCACCTTGACACTGCCTCCAGCCCAGAGGTCACCCTCGACACTGCCTCCAGCCCAGAGGTCACCCTCGACACTGTCTCCAGCCCAGGGGTCACCCTCGACACTGTCTCCAGCCCAGGGGTCACCCTCGACACTGCCCCCAGCCCAGAGGTCACCCTCGACACTGCCTCCAGCCCAGGGGTCACCCTCGACACTGCCTCCAGCCCAGGGGTCATCTTTCATGCTGCCTCCCTCTTCCTCACACTGCTGTTCAACCAGAATTTCTGTTAATGCTCATCCATGAGTATCTTGCACCATTTTTCACTTCTGCCCACCACCAAGGGCTTCATGTTCACCATCTCTTTCTAAAGAAGTGACCTCCCCAATGGCTAACGCACAGCCACGCTGTGTCCTTTAAATGGTTCTCCTACTGCATTTATGTGAATACATCAGCGTTGGCTGCCTGTGCTCCATCCACCCCGTGGAACACTCCACAGAGTCTATCAGCAAAGTGTCCTGTCGAGTCTGGAATGTTCCAGCACCTCTCACAGCCTGAGTGCTCCCTACCTAGGCCTTTCGCCTCAGCACACGTTTGGTTTTCCCACCAGAATATGACCTTCCTGCTGTAAGTCACTGGAACTTCCTGTTCTTTCTAGTGTGGACTCTTCACTCATTCCTGCCCTCTGACACATTTTACAAGGTGAATTTCTTCTCATTTCATGTGTTTTCAGGTACCAGTTCAGTAGTTTCTTCCCCAGGAAATACATTTTGTCTCTAACAAGACCAACATGTCTCCATGAACTACTTACCACACTGTAATTTTTCCCTTTATTCCTAGGATTTATTGGACTCTGGACTGATGTTTCTGTGAGCGCAGGTGCCGTGCTTCCCTTGCTTACTACCCGATCCATGTCCTGCAGCTTGTTGCCACCCCGCACCACAGACCCAGTAAGTATTTATGAAAGCAGTGTCCACACAAAAGGAGTATAGCTAGGTTTTTTTTCAAGATTTATTTATTTATTTATATTTTAAAGTCAGAGTTAGATATCTTCCATTGACTGGCCCGCTCCCTGAGTAGCCTCAACAGCCAGGGTAAAACCAGAAGCCAGGAGCTTATTCCAGGTCTCCCACATGGCTGGCAGGGGTCCACATAGGAAGCAGCTTTACCTGTCTACCACAATGCAGGCCCCAGTTTTCCATTTATATTCCTCTGGATGTTTCCAGAGAAGCATCCTGCTTCCCACTCTGACTGGTATCTCTTTATCTGGGGAATAACACCCTTCATTTATTAATCACTTTCATGTTGAATTTTTGGGACCCTTGTATGCACTTCTCATTGTCCAGGTAAGTTACACACAGCTGAGAAAATAATGTGCAGAGAGACCAACCCATTGTTCGAAGCAGGAAATTCTTCTTTTCCATCCCTCTACATGTCAGCACTCAATGCCACATTCATTCAACTGCACAGAAGGCAGAAGAGTGGCTAATGTAAGACATGATGGGAACATGCCACCGATTTTAAGGCTAGCAGTCTACTCTGCTGTGCTGGGCAGTTTATTTATTGGTAGAGATGGCTTACAGTTTGTGGTAGTGTCCACTACAGTAGGTCTTCCTATCCCAGTGACAGCCATGTGCGCTTAGCCTCATAAATGCCACCACAGAATATGTACACATGAGGCCCTTTGTTCTAGAGAGGGGAAAAGGGATCCCCAAGAAATCAAATTTGTTTTCCTAAAGCTCTGACAAAAATCAGAGTTTGAGCTGAAGCACAATTTTCCTGATTTCTCCATAATTTACAAATATGTCAAAGATGAGTAGAAGAAACCTATGGAAGCTTTAAAAAATGTCTATTCTATTTTCTTATTTTTTAAAAAAGATTTTTATTTGAGAAGTAGGATTACAAACAGAGAAAGGGAGAGACAAAGAGAAAGGTCTTCCATCCACTGGTTCACTCCTCAAGTGACTGCAACAGCCAGAGTTGGGCCAATCTGAAGCCAGGAACCAGGAGCTTCTTCCACGTCTCCCATACAGGTACAGAGACCCAAGCACTTGGCCATCTTCTACTGCTTTCCCAGGCCATAGCAGAGAGCTGGATCGGAGCAGGAACAGCAAGGACTAGAAGTGCTGCCCATATGGCATGCTGGCGCTGCAGGCAGAGGCTTAGCCTATGACACCACAGAGCTGGCCCATGTCTGTTCTGTTTTCACACATCTTCTCTCTATTTTATAACTGTTATCCAAGAGTCTGTCTTCATTTTTCTGAGTTAGAATCTGACAATTGATATGAAGAAAAGAGAAAAAAAAAACTATCAAAGCAACTCCTTCTATGGAACTTCTGTAACTAACAACCAGCATCTCCTTAGGCAGTTGCAGTTATCATGTTAGAACACAGGAGGCAGTAAGTGAAACTCAAGTACTTGGGCCCCTTCCACCCATGTGGGAGGCCAGGATGAAGTTCCAGGCTACTGGTTTTGTTCTAGATCATCAGGCATTTGGGAACTCAACTAGTGGATGGGATATCTCTCTCTCTCTCTCTCTCTCTCTCTCTCTCTCTCATAAATAATTTTAAAATAGCTACATATTTTTAAATTTGTAAAAAGCCTTTAGATTATAGCCATGTACAAGCATTTAGAAACACTACTTATACTCTCAGATACCTCCGACATCACTACTCCTTTCAGATTCTTTTTAAGAGGAGTCACATGTCCCTTTCCATTTTTAGTCCCCAGGCCCCCATGTTGGCAGTGTAGACCACACTGCCATCCCATCCTGCTTCTGGGCCTCTCAGCTGCTGGAGGCACCCCAGCCATGCCCACAGCCGTGTGTGGAACTCACGGGCTTCTGTGCTGTCATTCCTTCCTCAGGGCCTGCAGCTTCCCTGTGGACAGGTGAGGACAGACAGACAGCCCGGAGATGAAAGGAGGCAGGTGAAAGTTAAAGGAGGGGGTGTGGGGAGAAGCAGATTCTGAATCAGTAAGAAAGGGTCCAAGTATTGTAACACCGAGATATTATTCCCGTAGACCTCACACTGAGAAATGAAGTCGGCCTCCCTCAGACTGGGTGACAGGAAGACTGATAACAACGCCTCCCTGTGGCAGCAGTGGTCAGCACAGGTAATGCCTCGCCTGCAGGCATCTACATCTGCTGAGCAAGTTCTCAAAACCAGGTTCTTCAGCCAAAGCTGTTATTAATTATGGGTTGTATACAAAGTTTGGGACAGAGTATTGAGAACATGTGATTCTGGCTCTTTTCAAAAATGTCCTTGACCTTGTACTTATTGCAAGACTCCTGTGAAGGAAACACTGCTTTTAGCTCCAGGGATCAAGCGTTACCAAAGGAGGAGGGACCTGACATCACTGGTGTGGCCTGGGAGAGAGCCCCATCAGCATCCAGGCAGCCATCCTGCTGCTCAGCAGTTGCAGATAAACTCAAGAGGGAAACAATAGTGAGGAGGGAGTTGAACACTGGGAAGAAGGAGACTTTGGCTTTCAATGCCCGGCCTATAAAATAACTAGCTTAATTGTGATTTTATATCATTTGCTTTTTCATAATGTCTGTGTTTTAATAACTGGCTTGCAAAACTTCTGGAAGGTTACCATTCAGTTCCCGCAGGCCTCTTTGGTCATATGAACAGCAAGACATAAAGCAAGCAGCCTCAACTGAGAAGGGGGTGGCTCTTTCTGGCTTTGCAGAGTCAAACACTCCAGTTCCTTTGGGTGCTGCTGCAGGCGCCTCTCAGCTCTGATCATGTGTGGTTACCCAGCATCTGTTTCTAGATGCACCTGTGGGACTGGTGGATCCATCTAAGGAAAGTGCACTTTTGACTCTTTTTCTGTTTATCAGTGCCTTTTCTTTTTTTTAACTTTTATTTAATGAATATAAATTTCCAAAGTACAGCTTATTGATTACAATGGCTTCCCCCCCCCCTATATACTTCCCTCCCACCCGCAACCCTCCCCTTTCCCGCTCCCTCTCCCCTTCCATTCACATCAAGATTCATTTTCAATTCTCTTTATATACAGAAGATCAGTTTAGCTTATATTAAGTAAAGATTTCAACAGTTTGCACCCACACAGAAACATAAAGTGAAAAATAATGTTTGAGTACTAGTTATAGCATTAAATCACAATGTACAGCACACTAAGGACAGAGATCCTACGTGAGGAGTAAGTGCACTGTGACTCCTGTTGTTGACTTAACAAACTGACACTCTTGTTTATGGCATCAGTAATCACCCTTGGCTCTTGTCATGAGTTGCCAAGGCTATGGAAGCCGTTTGAGTTCACTGACTCTGATCATATTTAGACAAGGTCATAGTCAGAGTGGAAGTTCTCTCCTCCCTTCAGAGAAAGGTTCCTCCTCACTTTCTAGCTTCTGACGGATGTAGATGGATCACAAAACTGGTACTGATTCCTACCACAGACAGAACCTCCAGAGAAAGGAAAGTGACACTGCAGCCTACTGAATGTTCTGTTTACTGCCAGATTGATTTTAAGGTTGCCTGATAAGGAACACAGAAGTTGAATTTACAGCTGTCCTGATGGCAGCCAATCCAGCCCTCATTTAGAAACACAAACACAGAGGCAGCTCGAGTGGGGCCAGAATCACCAATCCAGTAGTGGCAGAAAGGAGAACTCCGGGCTCCTTGATCCAGAGGTGTGCCTTCTGCCTCTGGTTCCTGGGTCGTGCTCACCTGCAGAATCCCCGCCCGTGCCCTGGGTGTGAAGAGAACCACCTCATCCATCAGGGTCCATACCTGGCCTGTTAGGCCATCGTCAGCACCGCCACAGGGAGGGCCAGCTCCAGCCCCTGGAGCCAGAAGTAAACGTACGTCTCCCAGCAGCCACTGCAGTCTAATTGCCTTGAAAGTCCACTCACAGGTTTTGTTTATTTGTTTGTTTATTCTTTCAGAGATGTCAACACACTCTCGCCCTTTAATAGCTCTTTCTTTGCTTCCTTGGAAAGCTTGGAAAAGCGTCTGTTTCTAACATGCCCGATGAGACAGCACAGGAAGGAGTTTCACAGAGCAGTGTGTACAGACACGGGGGCCTGCAGTCGCCCGGGGACGTTGGCTGCCGCTGGTTCTTGCGATGCACTCAGAGAGGGCATGGGAGGCTGGTAGTCTATGCGGTACCACCTTCAGTCTTCTGAAAATGAGGCAGCAAATAGATCTGGAAACCATGAACAAAGTGAGATAGGAAATTGCATGATGTCTGTGTTTACACTTGCACTAGTGAATGATTGACAGCTTGTGCCTGATTTAGTTTCCCAGACCACACACCACTGAGGAGTTTAAATACTGTGTGCTCAAGGCTGACGTGAGAAGTGCGTCTTAGTCACCTTCCAGTAAGTTCCAAGATGAAGATCATTGTTTTCTTTGATTACAGTTTTTCCAGTGATCTGACTAAAGTCATTGACATCCTGCTGATGTCTCAAAACGAAGTCATAAAGGTTTTGGCAGGTGTTGAGAACCAGTAGTCTATCAACATACTGAAATACTAATTTGGACCGAATAAGATACAGTAATGCTCAGTATATTTGAATTAAGGGGAGGGAACAGCAAAGCAAGAGGAACAAATACCAGAGGGAAGTGAAGTGAAGCAGTGGTGTGTGGTCAGGTCCGTGTCACAACAAGGCTGTAAAGTGCGAGGATGAGCGTGAACTCTCACCTTCCTGTGAGAAGCGTGGGGAAGAGCTGTGCCAGCCTCACTGCATCCCAGTCTGGAGGGACCACACCTGCAGTGCTGCAGCCCAGGCAACCTGCATTTTCATTGTCCGTGGCTTTCGTAAGGTGGGCTCACCTGGGGACCACTAAACTCAGTGCTGAGCTCATTTGCCATGCATGCATGGAGTTCCATCTTCTATCTTCTGTCTTCACTGCACTTCCTACTGCTTATGCTGCTGTGGCTATGTAGCTTGTTTCTGATAGTTTGTGGTTTGTTTTGCCAATGTGAGAAGTAGGAAAATTCATTTTATAGATATTCCATGTTTCACAGTTTTTACATACATAGTGATTTCCAGAATTAAAGATTTCTAGTGCATAGAGGGTGGATTATGCCTTGGGAGTCATAGGCAGAACACAGTGGAATGTTTAGAAATAGAATTTGCTTATATGAAAATCCCTGGGATGAAAACTCTGTGAAGCAGCATCTATGGAGAATAGTTGTAAAAACCGTAGAAGGCTAATTTATGCTTAACGAAAGAGAAAAAATAGTGCATACTTCCTAACTAGAATAATTACTTAAAAAAGAAAAAGTGGGAATCAGTTTGCTTTTGTGACCATCACTGGTTGAAAATAGCAAGGGAACAGACTCGGGCAAGCCTTAGAAAAGTATTTCAACCAACTGAGATGGTCAGAGGTGGATGTCGCACTTTCCAGCAAGCTTTCCATTCCTGGAGTTCAGGTTCTCAAGGGACTAGAACGCATGTGCACACACACACACACACAGAGTTTTTAAAATGGGAGTGAATTATTAGATAGAGGCATCTCATACCTGGGTTACAAGATTTCTTTCAACTCAAAGAATCCGTGTCTCAAAACTAGATCTTTGCTTCCTGCCTCTTTACATCTCACAAAACCTGACGGTGGCTTTACTCAAGCAGATGGAGGAGACTCTACGGCCTTCATTAGGGTCTCTTAATTAACGATCTCTCATCCAAAACACAATATTGATAGAAAACTATGTTTTAAGTTTTGACATTACCATTTTTCCACTTTAGTTATTCATCATAGAAGAATGGGCAGTAGCTATTTTCAGTCTTAAAGCTACCCTTTGATCTGATTTTTCCTCTCTAGATTTTTGAATATTTCATTTGCTTATAGGCAGTTTATCCATTACATCATAAAATGTAGATGTGGACTTAATATAGTGTGATTTTTTTTTTTATTTTGACAGACAGAGTTTGACAGTGAGAGAAAGAGACAGAGAGAAAGGTCTTCCTTCCATTGGTTCGCCCCCTAAATGGCCACTATGGCTGGTGTGCTGCGCTGATCCGAAGCCAGGAGCCAGGTGCTTCCTCCTGGTCTCCCATGCGGGTGCAGGGCCCAAGCACTTGGCCCATCCTCCACTGCCTTTGCAGGCCACAGCAGAGAGCTGTACTGGAAGAGGAGCAACCGGGACAGAATCTGGCGCTCCGACAGGGACTAGAACCCTGGGTGCCAGTGCCGCAGGCGGAGGATTAGTCTAGTGAGCTGTGGTGCCGGCCAATATAGTGTGATCTTTACATGAGAATGTTTAATAATGGAGAATGGCGTTTGATCAATGTCAAGTGTGGAGCCGCCTTTCAGTGTGAAAGGTCAGCAGTAAGAGCATTAAGAGCATATCATCCATTATGAGATGCCCAGTCATGCTTTATTAAGAGCTGCTCAAAACAGATGCAGACATCTGCGGAAGAATCCATTATGAATTTTGAGCTGGCCTTCTAAAATTTATGTTTTTTTAAAGAGAGAGAAGAGTGAAAAGAGAGAGAGAGGCATATATATTTATTTGAAAGGTGAGGAGGGAGAAAGGACATGGAGATAGAGGAGAGAGAAAGAGAGAATTGAGATCTTCGACCTGCTGATTCATTTCTCAGATGCCTGCAACAGGCAAGACTTGGCCAGGCTGAAGCCAGGAGCCAGGAACTCCATTCAGGTCTCCCACATGGTGTCAGGGACCCAAGTACTTGAGTATTCACTTCTGCATCTCATGCAAATTAGCAGGGAGCTGGATCAGAAGTAGAGCCGCTGTTCCACCACCCAGATGCTCCGATATGGGATGTGGGCATTTCCAAGCAGCAACTTAATCCCCTGTTTCACAACACACAGTCCCCATCCCACCCCCTAAAAAGCCCACAAGTTTATATTTCGGAAGCAAAGATGAAAAATAAAAAGAAGGAAACCAGTGAATTTATGGGTACATAAAGTTTTTTCAGAGCATAAGGAATTCTCTGAAGATAAACAGGGCAATAAGTGAGGGACTGTGGGTGGGGGTGGCAGAAGTGGTCTCTAGGGTGGTGGGCAACGTCTTCTGTGGGGAGGAGTCTCAGCCCATGGGAATAAGAGAAGAGATTTGCAGGCCAAGAAACTAAATGGGTAGGAGGCAGGAACGAGGAACGGCAGGAATGGTGTGTG